GCAGTGGAACGGAGACCCCCAACCGGGAAATCGTTTCGTTTCGTTCGTGTCGTGCGTGCGTGCGAGGCAAAGCTGCGTGGGCGCGCGAGAGGAATGAACCCGCAGTTGCTAGGGCGAACTCGAGACAAATGACTCTCCTCCGTCCGTCCGTCCGGCGGTGGCCCTAGCGGTGTCCCGCGGTGTCCCGTGGTGTCCGCCGTTGCTAGGGCGAAGTCAAGACAAATGATTCTCCCCCGTCCGTCCGTCCGGCGGTGGCCCGCGGTGTCCCGCGGTGTCCCGCGGTGTCCCGTGGTGTCCCGTTGAGTGAGATCGATAGTGAGACTAATAGTGAGATCGATAGTAAGACCGATAGTGAGACCGATAGTAAGATCGATACTGAGGTCGATGTGGTGCCCCGAGGTGCCCCGTGGTGTCCCAACGATAAAGAGATCGATAGTGAGATCGACAGGTGTCCCGTGGTGTCCCGTTGAAAGAGATCGATAGTGAGATCGATACTAAGATCGGTGTGGTGCCCCGAGGTGTCCCGTGGTGTCCCAAACAATGAGATCGATAGTGAGATCGACAGGTGTCCCGTGGTGTACCGTTGAGTGAGATCGATAGTGAGATCGATAATGAGACCGATAATGAGATCGAGAGGTGTCCCGCGGTGTCCCGTGGTGCCCCGTTGAATGAGATCGATAGTGAGATCGATCGAGTCAGATGTTGGTTAACCCCCCTCCCCCCCCACAACTTCCTCGTCACCCGAAGGGTGGTCGCAGAGGTATACTAGGTTATCCCAGCATCCTCTCTGTGTCCGGCATATTTTGTCGCATGCAATCCATTCCTATCATCTGTGTATTCATGTATGCTCCGGCTCCTGTCCAAGGTGTGTTTTTTCCTGTGCAAGCCCCCAACACCGCCTGCACCCCCCCGCCCTCCGGCCGCCTGAGGCCCCGCCCGCCTGCGCTCTGTCTCCCCAATTCGTGCTTTGCGCGGCCCGCCTAGCTCTTAATCGGAAGAGGCTCGCTCTCGACCTGCAGACCAAAAAAGTATTCATGTATGGGTCCAGTGGCACACAGTAGCGGCGTAACTAATGACGGCGGGGTCCATTCATCGCATGTGTGGTCGAGGTTCTTTTGTTGTCTCAACCATCGTTCGTCTTCAGATGTCCACACGTGACCTCTGTTGGTCGGCATAAGCTGTTGTCGAAGTCGCACTGCCTGTTGTTGTTGCTGTTGGTGTTGTTGTTGTTGGTGTTGTTGTTGTTGCTGCTGCTGCTGCTGCTGCTGCTGCTGCTGTGTGTGCCTGAACAAACTCTGTAGGTCGGTGCTGCTTTCCTCAGAAACGACGTGGGGGGACACACGTGGTATGAATCACACGGTATGAATCGGTGCGGGGGGGGGGGGCGGAGAATCAAAGAGCCACAGGAAATTTCCCCAAATTTCTTGGACAAAGGCTGTCCCCAAGACCTCACAGAGCCCTTGAGGATACACTTTGGCGTAGGCCGTGTTCCAGACCCCCGTTTCGTCGACCCCGTCGAGCGCCAGGTGAACGTGAGAATGATAGCAACGCGAGCCTTGAGTTCTGGCCTGAAGGGCACCTCCAAGGGCACAAATGTGGATCCCCATGAGGCAAGTGGGCTTCTTGGACTCCGCCCCAAAGGCACACCAATGGAAAAGGTGCTTTGAGACCCCCAGTTGCCTCAAGAGATCCTGAGTTTCTCCGATACACCAGGAACTGGGCGCCTCAGGGGGACTCCGAGGTTCAGGGGGGTGCTTGACCACTTGTGGTAAGGAAAGCCTCCAGCACACAATCGCAAACTCGAGTGTGGTACGAAGTAGACGGTTTCCTAGTGCCAGCTGTTCGGGCTCTATCTGGGAAACAAAGGAAAGGCCCCCAGAGAGTCCCCGAGGTCTAGTACGGGGTTCCCGGGCTCCCTGTGGGGCTCCGCGAAACCTCGCAATGGACCATGTCTCACAAGGAGGCCCTGCCAGGACTTCCTCCTCCTCCTCCTCCTCCTCCTCCTCCTCCTCCTCTTCCTCCTCCTCCTCCTCCTCCTCCTCCTCCTCCTCCCCCTCCTCCTCCTCCTCCTCCTCCTCCTCCTCCTCCTCCTCCTGTTCAGGACTATGGAGAACCCACCCCATCGTGCCGCGGATTTCCCCCCTGAACTGTCTGCGTCGACACGCGAGGGCCCTGCGGCCCGAAGTGGGCCCCATGGAGGCCGAAAGCCGCTGCAAGCACGCGCCCTTGAGGAAAGGGGCGGGCCACACCGGCAGCAACAGCAGGGAAGGGAGAGACGGAGGGAAGGAGGGAGCAGGAGGGAGTGGAGGAAAGGGAGGACGGGGAGGGATTGAGGCCTCCCTCCTTGCCTCTGCCCCTGTCCCCCGCTCCTCCACTCCCGGGAGGGTCCGCCCTCCGCTCTGCACACAACGCCCGAGGGAGCCGAGTCTGAGGCCGCCTCAGCCTCCCTCAATCCCACTCCCTCGGTCGCCCCCTCTCTACCCCCCTCCCCCACCATCCTTTTTTCTTCCAAATGCAATCAACCCGTATAATGAGGATGCGCGGTAAGGATGCAAGGGCCTTGGACAACCATGCCGACACTTTGCGAGCGGGGCGCGGCCAGCGAAATCGGCCAAGGATGGGCCGGAGGGGGAGGATGCAAGGGTAGCCTTGGAAAGTGCAATGCAAGCTGACTGTAACTCCTCCCTGTCGTATCCGCCGGCCCAGTCAGCGTGTGTGAGAGGCCCTTAGATGCGAGGCCAGCCCAATCCAAACTGAAGTACGCCAGCCTCCTTTAAATCGTCGTTGTCGTAAGGGAAGTCGATCAGACAAGGGGGATCGAACAACGTCAGAATAAC